ACTAGAGATCTTCTTAAAGTACAGCCTCTGATTCAATAGATGGGGGTCAGGGCCCAAAAATCTGCATTTCTAACAAGCTCCCAGATAATGTGGCTGCTGCTGGTCTACAAATTTTACTTGGAGAGGCAAGGTTCTGGATGACCTCTGCTGCCCTCTCTGAAAAGCCAGCTCTCCTGGGTCACCGTCTAGCTCCGGATCAGGGTCAGGGCTACGCGGCTGGGAGCTGGACAGACTGGGTTCCGATCAGGTGTAGCTATTGGGCTGGGGGCAGGGGGGTGCGGCGGTGGGGCGGGGGCTGCCGGCCACTCACCACTTGTTCGTCCAGCGTGAGCAGCGTGCGGGGCACCTTCGGTGAAGCCGAGCCCAGGCGCAGGCAGGTCGGGCTTAGCCGCGGAGCCACGTATTCCAGAAGCTTCCTAGGGGACAGGCCCCGCGGGGGCCCCGGCGGCAGCGCATCCTCCGAGATGGTGCCGCGGAGGGTCCGGAGCTGAGGAGGGGATGTAGGGGCTCTCAGAATCCATACAGGTTTTCGAGGAGGCAATCCGCGGTCTGATCGCATGACCCCGGCCCACCTGTGTGGTCCGCACGATGATGCGGTAGGTGTGCAGAGTGCCCCCTCCGCTGCCTTCCTTCTCTTCCCGCCGCAGGCTCACTGCCACCGGACCCAGCACCTCGTCCAGTCCGAAGAAGTTCTGATGCTCTGGAGGGGAGGGCCCCCCCGCCCCCCGGGCCGTGAATGACCGGGTTCCCGCCCCCCTGGGAGTCCCACCCGGGCTCGACCATGCCCATCGCTAAGCCCCGCCCACGCTCCCATCTCATCACCTAGTGCATACCCTAGACTAAGGCCCACTCCCTCCGCTGCCCCGCCCACATCCTACCGGGCCAAATCCCTTTCGGTGCGGGCTCCCTGATGCTTGGCCCTGTGCCCCGCCCCTTCGGCGGCCCCGCCCACAGTACATCTTGCCCCCCCCCGGCGCCGGCGCCGAGGCCTGCCTGCTTCCAGGCCTAGATCCTTCAAGGCCCCCCCCCCCGCACTCCACGCCCATGTTCTGCGGCAGGCTGTATGCGGCCCTCCCTCCCGGCCACTGACGAGAACAAGGTTCCCACAAGGGTGCAGAGGTTTTCAGACCTCAGTTTTCACCTCGCAGAAATGTTGGTAGGAAATCTCTCCCCAGCCCGGAGGGGTAGGAGGATGAATCAGACGGAGGCCGAAGGCCTTGGGAAGGTGGTTAAAGCTAGGCTCCGCAGGGCAGTCTTGGCCCCAGAGGCAGAGCATGATCCTTCATATGGCCAGGAACTTAACAGGGAAAGGACAACTCATGAGCCCTCCTGTGTGCCCCTCAGGTGACAGGGGCTGCCGCCCAGCCAGGCAGCGCCGCCCCCTTACCTTTGCCATAGAAGTACTTGCGGTAGTAACCAGCGCCCAGGTCTGCATGCTCCAGGCTGTAGGCTGAAGTCCGGTTCTGCGGCTCCTCCAGGACGGACACGGCGGCGTTGGGCAGTGCAGGGGGCACGGGTGGGGACACGGGTCCACCCAGGCCCAGCTCGCCCTCACCCCCGAGCTCACTCACAAAGCCAGGCGCCTCGAGCAGCAGGTCCGAGCTGGCAGATGGGTCCTCAGCAGAGGCCGGAGTCCCAGAGCCGGCCTCTGCGTGGCCCCCTGTCCCCCGAGGCTTGGCAGCCCAGTCAAAGAGCAGACTCTGCACGTCATAGTGGGCAAACCAGTGGGGCTCAGGCACTGGCGGGAAGGCGGGCTCTGGCTCCTCGGCCGGCAGCCCCAGCAGGGCCAGCGGGTCAGTGAAGAGCCGGGTGGGGCCCGCGGCAGGGCGGCTGGCCTCCTCGTGGCTGTGGGCACGGGCACGAGGGCTGGCTGGCGTGGGGGGCCGGGCCTCGCCCGCGTC